AGCCCCCACGATCTCCCTCTTTCGCTTTTAAATGAAAAAAAAAAGGGTAATTGATTTAGACCTTTGACAGCGGTGAAAAATATAGTTCCTTTCCTCTTCTCTCCCCCTCCCCCAAAAAACCCAACCCCCCTCCCTCAAACAGACAGAAGAATCTAACAACCTGCTCCACTACACAGCCCTGATAAAGTTGTGCCAGCCTCTACTGTGATGTTTATCTTCTCCGTTCAGGGAGATTGTTTTTTTCTTTTCTTCCTTCCTCAATATCTCCAACCATCAGAAAGAAAGAGAAACATAAACAAAAGAAAACCAAACCCCAAAGCCTCAAACGAAAGAAGAAGAAAACAAAACTGGGAAAGACAAGACGAATTGTGCTTTGGGATGAATCTGTTGCAAAAACAATACACGGGGATTCTGTTTGGTTTCTCATACAATTGCTTGGGAGTATTATATTCCCAAGAGATGGTCTCCAAGAATTCGGTTCAGTTTGGTCTAGGGGTGAAGGTGGCAGACTAGAAATCAGTAGATGGTGAGTTCTAGTCCCGCCTTAGCCATGAATGCCAGCCAGATGACTTTGGTTCAATCACCAGGAGTCAGTGAGTTCTAGTTTTGCCTTAGCCGTGAAAGCTGGATGGGTGATGTTTGGCCAATCACCAGGAGATGGTGAGTTCTAGTCCTGCCTTAGGCATGAAAGATAACTGGGTGATTTTGGGCCAATAATCAGTGGTCAGTGAGTCCTAGTCCTGCCTTAGCCATGAAAGCTGGCTGGGTGACTTTGGGCCAATCACCAGGAGTCAGTGAGTTCTAGTCCTGCTTTAGCCATGAAAGCTGGTTAGGTGACCTTGGGCCAGTCACTCTCTCTCAGCTCAATTCACCTCACTGGGTTGTTATTGTGGGGAAAATAGGGAGAGGAAGAAGTATAAGCTTTAAGTTAGTTATAAAAAATAATAAAGGCAAGATACAAGCAAACAAACGTGGTGGCTCAGTGGCTAAGATGCTGAGCTGGTGTATTATTAGAAAGGTCGGCAGTTCAGCAGTTCGAATCCCTAGCACCGTGTAACGGAGTGAACTCCTGTTACTTGTCCCAGCTTCTGCCAACCTAACAGTTCGAAAGCATGTAAAAAATGCAAGTAAAAAAATAGGGACCCCTTTAGTGGGAAAGTAACAGCATTCCATGCACCTTCAGAGATATTTAGTCATGCTGGCCACATGACCACGGAGACGTCTTCAGACAGAGCTGGGTCTTCGGCTTGTAACGGAGATGAGTGCTGCCTCCGAGAGCCAGAAATGACTAGCATGTATGTGTGAGAGGGAACCTTTACCCTTTACAAACGAACAAACAGACAAATACATTGGCTTATTAGGCTCCAGCAAAGATGCCACTGAAGGTTATTGGAGTCCTTCATCCTGATTCTCTTCCTCTTCCTCCACTTCCTGATGTATGTCCTTTCTTGCTTCCAAGCCTACAAACAAGGAAGTAATGAAGACGTTTCATTGGTCTTTCTTTCTGGTTCTGAATGATGGCATTGCTTAGGGCATCAAGCATCAAGAACTCAATTCATTTTGACCGCAACAAAAGGAAGTTTGTTGCAAGTGCTGTTGGTAGGCCTGTGCCCATGGCACCACACAAGTCTTGTATCTGTGTCTTCTTTGGTTCCACAATGTTTCTGAAGCATGAAGCAATGCCCCTTCCTCCTTCTTGTCCATGCAGGAGGCATCGTGCTGAACCCTTCCTTCTATGGCATTGTGGGGCACACCCACACCATGATCCATGAAGTCGGGCACAGCCTCGGACTCTACCATGTCTTTAAGGGGGTGTCTGAGATCTTCTCCTGCAGCGACCCATGCATAGAAACGGAACCATCCTTCGAGACGGGGGATCTTTGCCACGATACCAATCCCACCCCAACCCACAAAGTCTGTGGCGACCCCCCTGCTAATAGTAACATGTGTGGGCTCCATAACTTCCAGAATACACCATTCAACAACTTTATGAGCTACGCAGGTAAGTGCTATTTTCTGGGATACTTGGCTGATTGTGGGCTTTAGATCTTTGGAGGTATCCAACTTTGGCAACTTGAAGGCCTGTGAACCTCAACTCCCAGAAACCCCCCGTGCTATCTGGGGAATTCTGGGAGTTGAAACATGCCAGTCTTAAAGTTGCCAAGGTTGGCTTTAGACAGTGTCACACAATATTTGGACTCACAGCTTGCTCAAAGTTGCATTCAAGAAGATGGTGAGATTCATACCCAAAGCTATGTTTGATGTAGATATAAGCACTGTGGTCCAGACTGGGAAGATGAAAATAATAGTTTGGAAGCAGATAGTATTGATAGGTTATAACATGGACATTCCTGTCAGGTCTTCAGGAGCTCGAAGTGAGCTTTATAGACCAACTAAGATATAACTCTTCAACTTTGGCTGAATTCCAACAGCTGCTAGTAGTATTCAGATAGAAAACTGGGAAATCCTGTTTTACTAAGTCCTAACTCTCTCTATGTGTGTCCCTCTCCTGTTTTTTGATGGTGTGTGCTGCTCCAGATGACGACTGCACCAATTCCTTCACTCCGAACCAGGTTGCCCGTATGCACTGCTACCTAGATCTAGTGTATCAAAGCTGGCAACATATCAAGAAGCCAGCCCCCATTGCCATCACACCTCAGATTGTGGACCGAACAGAAACTTCCGTTACTCTGGAGTGGTTTCCACCAATCGACCGGCACTTCTTTGAAAGGTGAATGGGTGGGATGACGTGCGTATTTTGGAAGGCAGGCTCAGAAAGGTGTCAATGATACGGGAGGAATGAGTTCTGAATGTTGTGAGATGGCTGTTCCCTTTCTTTGGTGGGGTGTATATTTGCTTAGGGAGCAGGGCCTACCTGACTTGAGTGTCATAGGAGAAAATTTCATCAGCCTGCTGAAAAAAGGAAGAGTGAACAAATTTAAGATCAGAAAGGGAAGGAGGCTGAAGAATTATCCCAGAAACATGAAGGAGAAACTTCCTAACAGTGAGAACAATTAACCAGTGGAACGGGTTGCCTTCAGATGCTATGGGTGTTCCATCACTGGAGGTTTTTAAGAAGAGATTGAGCAACCATCTGTTTGAAATGTTATAGAGTCACCTGTTTGATCAGTGGGTTGGACTAGAAGACCTTGGAGGTTGGTTTTCAAGTAAAGAAGAATAAATGTTATGCATCCTAGCTGTTTGGCTGCAGAACAAAGATTGAAAAGAATTAGGTTGTGTTGGAGAGAGATTGGCAGAGTCTGGGGAAGGAGACAAGCAGGGAATTAATCTGGAATCCTTACCTGGGCACAAGAGGGTAAGGTCTGATCCCCCTTGAATGCCATTCAATTTTATCCAGTCTAGTCCAAGTGTAGACAACTAGTTTGGGAAGATTAATGTTAGGTGTGAACAACTAGAGCCACACAGGAAGAGTTGAAATGGCATTCAAAAGGGACCAGATCTTGCCTTCTTGTGCCTACATAATGATTCCAGACTAATTCCCTGCTTAACTCCTTCCCCAGACTCAGCCAGTCTCTGACAGGTTGATGCTCACCACGATTCCCTAATATTTTAACCAGTTCAAAGACTTAAGTTTCTAAAGCATCCATGAACGAAAATTCAAGCTCAGCCAATCCCTTCTCCAGAAAAGTTGCCTGATTGTGTGAGATGGGCAGTGTGTCTACATTTGACAAATCAATAAGGCTGTGGAGACACCCCTCACCTACATTCTAGGTTTCCTTCTCAACTTCCCCTTTCCTTGGGCCTTGATGAAGGCCAATGCAATGTGCATTCAATTTATATTTCATAAGGTGGCGATTGTACATGAAATAAACTCAGTCTGTCTAATATTAAGAGGCATGCTGATCGAAGGCTAATTATTGTGTAATGAAAGACACCAGTCCTCAAGGAGCCTGCTTCAGTCTTGTTTTTATTAAGCCACGGCGAATGGATACTTAAATGACATCCAGTTGCTGGCCAGCTTGATCTAAGATTTCATAACAAAAAACCTTAAATCAACACTCAGGTTTTATTTTACAGACCCTTCCATTGGGAGGCTTCATTTTTTTGTCGAGCAGGTATGACCTGGAGGATACATTCTCTTGCATCATTTTGTGAGGGTTTTTTTCCTAATCTTGGATAAATAAATCTTCCCCCTCACCCCCCGAAGACTGAAGGGAGGGAATTGCTTAAAAATAATATTTTTGAAACTATAGTCAAACTTTTTGTTCGTTCTTGCAAATTTAGTGTTCATCTCAGGTGGCAATGGATATACGTTACAAATTTGGTTTTCATTTTCTTTTTATTTCTAAACCATTTTCTAAAAAGAAAATAAAATGGCAATTAGGAAAAGAATGAGGGAATATATGTAAATATGTAAATATACCATGGAGCAAATTTGGATGAACACCCACAGCTTCTGGAGTCAAGTTGTTTCAATGGTTGACTGTTCTTATTGTCAGGAAATTCCTCCTTAGTTCTAGGTTGCTTCTCTCCTTGGCTAGTTTCCATCCGTTGCTTCTTGTCCTGCCCTCAGGTGCTTTGGAGAATAGGTCCACCCCCTCTTCTTTGCAGCAGCCCCATAGATATTGGAAAGCTGCTGTCGTGTCACCCCCAATCCTTCAATGAACAGCCCCCCTGGAGATTTAAAAAAGCAACAGCAACAGCAACAACTTGAGGTGCATCACCCCAAAATGCTTTCCAACAGACAGAGCAGCAATATTCATGTCTATCGTCTCTTGATCTCTTTCTTCTTCTTCTTCTTCTTCTTCTTCTTCTTCTTCTTCTTCTTCTTCTTCTTCTTCTTCTTCTTCTTCTTCTTCTTCTTCTTCTTCTTCTTCTTCTTCTTCTTCTTCTTCTTCTTCTCCTCCTCCTCCTCCTCCTCCTCCTCCTCCTCCTCCTCCTCCTCCT